GCCCTGGCTGCCCGAAGGGCCAACGGGGCTGGGGGCGCACCCAGCAGAGAATGGTGACCCCGTGGGGGGGGATTGTCCCGCCCTGGGCCCCCCGCCTCGAGTTCTGCGGGCAGTTTGGGTGCCTCAGTATGAGAAGGACACCAGGCTATGAAAGTGTGCGACCGGGGTGGTGAAAGCTTAGGAGAGGCTGGGGTCACTTGGCCTGTTCAGCTTGGAGAAGGCTGCGGGGTGACCTCCTCGCTGAGGGGTGACCTCCTCACTGAGGGGTGACCTCCTCACTGAGAGGTGACCTCCTCGCTGAGAGGTGATCTCATCACCGAAGGGTGACCTCCTCACCGAGGGGTGACCTCATCACTGAGGGGTGACGTCCTCACTGAGGGGTGACCTCCTCACTGAAGGGTGACCTCATCACTGAGGGGTGACCTCATCACTGAGAGGTGACCTCATCACCGAAGGGTGACCTCCTCACCGAGGGGTGACCTCATCACTGAGGGGTGACCTCATCATTGAAGGGTGACCTCCTCACTGAGGGGTGACCTCACTGCAGTCTACAACGTCCTCAAGGGCAGCAGTGGAGAGGGAGGTGCTGATCTCCTCTCTCTGGTGACTGGTGATAGGATACGAGGAGATGGAATGAAGCTGCATCAGGGGAAGTTCAGATCGGACGCTAGGAAAAGGTTCCTCCCTGAGAGGGTGGCTGGTCCCTGGACAGGCCCCCCAGGGCAGTGGTCACGGCACCAGGCCTGTCAGAGTTCAAGGAGCACCTGGATGACGCTCTTAGTCCTATGGTTTAGTTTTAGGTAGTCCTGCAAGGAGCAGGGAGTTGGGCTTGAGGATCCTTACAGGTCCCTTCCAACTTAAGATATTCCATAATTCTGTGAAAAGGGAGATGAGGGGAATGAGCTAAAGCCCCTTGTCCCCACAGACCAGCTCCCGCAGACGCAGCATGGACACCGGGCAGACTGCATTGGGCCATGCTTGTAAATATTCCAAAATATTCCTCCTGTCAGCAGGACTCAGCTCAGCTGGAGCTGTTTGCTCGGTTACCACCAACCTTCAGGGACAGCATCCAGCCCAGAACTGGCAACTTCAGAGGAAAAACCTCCAGTCACTGCAGGGGTTTGTGTCTGTCACTGTCCTTCCTGATAAAACATTTGAGTTCACTGTGAATTTCTCTGCTGTGAGCATCGATGGATCCCTGCCATGCCAGGGAGGAAAGAACTACAACATTTAGGCTGAAAAAAAATAAGCCAAATCCCTTTCTACACAATAAGACATTTCAGGTGTGACCTCTCAGGGCTTCCCAGGGCTAGTTGTTCTGAAAAGCAGATAATGGCCTTTCCTCACCCCTTGATGAAATAAGAATCCTGTTTCTGCCCTTAACAGGTCATGGGACTCTGTGCTTAAACCTGCCAGTAACATAGGAGTTCAGATTTCTGGTTGTGCAGTGTGAAACAGCTGTTGAAGCTGTCCAGTGATGCAGAGACCCCACAGAAGAGTGGGCAGAACGAAGATGAGGTGGCAGAACACGCCAGGCTTGTGAAAGATCCCAGGGTACAAGCACACAGCAGTACAGAAATAACCCTGAAAAGGGAAGGGCTAAGAATATTCTGAATTTCCTCCGCTGCAGTCTGCTGCAGTTCAGGCAAATGACATCATTGCAGCACCACGAACACAGGCTCCGTAGGAGTTTAATCTCCCCTGCACATCCTTCCCATGGAGAAGCAGTTAGGGACGTGAGTAATCCCGCCCAGCTCCACGGGACTCGTGCCGATGGCAAATTCTTCTCTCAGGAGCAAGCCTTGGCAAGCACCTCTGGAGAGGAATCGCCCACGGTAATACTAGCAGATCACTAGTACCAACTAGCAAAGTCTCACCTATGACTGACCAACAGTTTAAGCAGCGATTCCTGGGTTTTGTTGGTTTCTCTTTTTTAATTTGAAAACCATTAGGACAGAGTATGTCCTACTATGTGCCAACTAACACCCTATGTTAAGGTAAAGCATATATGAAACTGAATGACAAAATCGTGCAGAAGCTTGTTTAAATGCCATAACAGGCTGCCCTGCGTTGTTTCACCACCAGAACATTTCTTTAAATATATGCTTAACTGTAAGAAACGTGCTTCAGGAACCACGGCAGGTGATTAGCAGACAGCATGGGAAATCAGTCACAAAAAGCCCGTTTGTGGCAATAAAAGACTCCACCACCCCTGGTGATTTTATAAATATGTATCTCCCCAGATTTGAGATAAACAACTGCTCCTCACAGTAGGATTTAAACCTCAGTAATCAAGAGGTACCAGCAGGGTCACCATTTAGTCAGCGAGTCAAATTCAGCATGTTGCCAGCCAGTTTAGCAGTGTTTGAGGCCAGGGGAAGCCCCTCTTCAAGACACGCTGCTGCTGAGAGGCGGTGGCACTGACGGGAGCACCCACGGCTCCACGTGCAAAGTTAATTCGCAGCAGTATGGTGGAAGGACAGGGAGAGTCAAGACAAACCAAAAACAGGAGCGCTAGCAGTGGAATGGAAGCATATGTGTTTGTTTTCCCACAGGAATGCTCCTTCTCCTTCAATATGTGAAGTTACAGCGTTGCTAAGTGCCTATTAGTTAGCCAACAGCTCCCAAACACAGTGTTAATATCCACATGTGCTTTTTTTTCCCTTAAGCAATAAACTTGGTATTGCATTTTCATTTCATACCTATTGCTGTGGGACAGTGAAGTGTAGTATTTCTGATGGTGGGAAGGAGGGCAAAGAAGTGACTTCTGAACTTGACGTTTCAATAAGAGATTCAAGATTTCCTTGCACCCCTGTTTATAATTTTTACATGGTTGAATTCTTTCATGGAGGACAGACACTGGGATTTTTTAGCTCAGCACTGAGAACTATAGGCAGAAGAGTTCTCTGCTAAAACTCTCAAACAAACAGGACTGTGTCCAGGGGAAATACTGCTCCAGCACCTTTGCTAAACAGCCCCAAACCATTGCACAGAATCCCACAATGGCAGGGGTTGGAAGGGCCCTCAGGAGATCACCCAGCCCAACCCCCCTGCTCAAGCAGGCTCACCCAGAGCAGGGGGCGCAGGACAGCGTGCAGGTGGGCTTTGATTATCTCCAGAGAAGGAGACTCCACAGCCCCTCTGGGCAGCCTGGGCCAGGGCTCGGGCACCCTCAAAGTAAAGAATTTCTTCCACATATTCAACTGAAACCTCTTATGTTTCAGTTTGTGCCCATTGCCCCTTGTCCTGGGTGGAATATTTTAATGCAGAATTTGGCAGAAAAATCTATGATTGATGTTTCCCATAGCAGACCGTCCTTCATTCTTCTAAGCATACTGAAAAACAAAATAACTTAAAACAAATTCTCTCAACGATGTCATTTACTGTACAGATAAATAGCAAACAACTCAGGAGGCTACAGCTCACGACGGTACAGAATTTCTTCAGAAGAGGACAAAATAGCATAGTAGTTGCCAGAGTTAAGTTTTTAAACTATAACTGGATGCAGCTTTAAATAGTGTTAGTACCTACCACATTACACCCCGAAAACATCCACATTGTTCATGTTTAATAGTGTTACACACAAATTACTTAATAAAAAAAAAGCCAATGCATATATATGTACTTGAAGTAGATGAGGAGAACCCTTG